TAGACTATAGACTAGACTATAGACTAGACTATAGACTAGACTATAGACGACACTATAGACTAGACTATATACTACACTATAGACTAGACTATAGACTAGACTATAGACTAGACTATAGACTAGACTATAGACTAGACTATAGACTAGACTATAGACTAGACTATAGACTAGACTATAGACTAGACTATAGACTAGACTAGACTAGACTATAGACTAGACTATAGACTAGACTATAGACTAGACTACAGACTAGACTATAGACTAGACAATAGACGACTATAGACTAGACTATAGACTAGACTATAGACTAGACTATAGACTAGACTATAGACTAGACTATAGACTAGACTATAGACTAGACTATAGACTAGACTATAGACTAGACTATATATAGACTAGACTATAGACTAGACTATAGACTAGACTATAGACTAGACTATAGACTAGACTATAGACTAGACTATAGACTAGACTATAGACTAGACTATAGACTAGACTATAGACTAGATATAGACTAGACTATAGACTAGACTATAGACTAGACTATAGACTAGACTATAGACTAGACTATAGACTAGACTATAGACTAGACTATAGACTAGACTATAGACTAGACTATAGACTAGACTATAGACTAGACTATAGACTAGACTATAGACTAGACTATAGACTAGACTATAGACTAGACTATAGACTAGACTATAGACTAGACTATAGACTAGACTATAGACTAGACTATAGACTAGACTATAGACTAGACTATAGACTAGACTATAGACTAGACTATAGACAAGACTATAGACTAGACTATAGACTAGACTATAGACTAGACTATATAACTAGACTATAGACTAGACTATAGACTAGACTATAGACTAGACTATAGACTAGACTATAACTAGACTATAGAAGACTATAGACTATAGATAGACTAAGACTAGACTATAGACTAGACTATAGACTAGACTATAGACTAGACTATAGACTAGACTATAGACTACTATAGACTAGACTATAGACTAGACTATAGACTAGACTATAGACTAGACTATAGACTAGACTATAGACTAGACTATAGACTAGACTATAGACTAGACTATAGACTAGATATTAGACTAGACTAAGACTAGGGACTATAGATCTAGAATAGACTAGACTATAGACTAGACTAGACTAGACTATAGACTAGACTATAGACTAGACTATAGACAGACTATAGACTAGACTATAGGACTAGACTATAGACTAGACTATAGACTAGAACTATAGACTAGACTATAGACTAGACTATAGACTAGACTATAGACTAGACTATAGACTAGACTATAGACTAGACTATAGACTAGGACTATAAGACTAGACTATGACTAGACTATAGACTAGACTATAGACTAGACTATAGACTAGACTATAGACTAGACTATAGACTAGACTATAGACTAGACTATAGACTAGGACTATAGACTAGACTATAGACTAGACTATAGACTAGACTATAGACTAGACTATAGACTAGACTATAGACTAGACTAGACTAGACTATAGACTAGACTATAGACTAGACTATAGACTAGACTATAGACTAGACTACTATAGACTAGACTATAGACTAGACTATAGACTAGACTATAGACTAGCCTATAGACTAGACTATAGACTAGACTATAGACTAGACTATAGACTAGACTATAGACTAGACTATAGACTAGACTATAGACTAGACTATAGACTAGACTACTAGACTCGATAGACGTATAGACTAGACTATAGACTAGACTATAGACTAGACTATAGACTAGACTATAGACTAGACTATAGACTAGACTATAGACTAGACTATAGACTAGACTATAGACTAGATTATAGAGACTAGACTATAGAGACTAGACTATAGACTAGGACTATAGAGACTAGATTATAGAGACTAGACTATAAACTAGGACTATAGACTAGACTATACAAAATATTTTAAACTCCTCGATGGATTTGACTATATTTTTAACTATAGGCACCACTATAGTATGTAAACTCGATGGTTTGGTTTATAATAGTTACAAGTACTTTTCAGTTTTGCTAAATATATTTGTTTTCTATATTATTTATGACCTTCATTTCAATACCATGCAAACAATAAGATTCGTTTTTTATACAATTTATCTCAATTACAGGCTCTTGATTTTTATAGATTATTATAGTAGAAGTTAAACAGAAAACACTTTTCACCATCAATGTGTGTGTGTACTATATATCTGTTATGATGTTTGGTTGTCTATCCTTGATTACTTCATTTAACTAGTGCAAATCGTAAACTCTGTACTCATGATACTTAGTTACTAATTCATGACGAATAGTGGAGCAAATTTATCATATCATTGAAAAAAGCATATTGCAGTTATGGGGAGGTTCTTTTGTATTGTTTTCGACCCTTTTATTAAATACTTCCTTGGCATACATTTCAGTTGTTTGTTTCATAATTCTTGCAGAAAATTTATTACAAAACTTTAGTTTGATTTGTTGGCTTTTAAAAGGCTTACTTTGTTATAATGCCTACTATGTAAGCATTGCATAGAGATTTAATACCCTATAATCTTTAAATTAAGCAAATATATTACTATTATTTAAAACATAATGTTGACCAAAAAATATATTTTATATAATTATTGTTTTAAAACGATTGTTAAAATAGCTCTTCTAGATTCAAATATGTATTCATGTTTTTTATACAAATTAGGGTATTTTGTAGCCTGTTATTATTAGTTTTCTTTAACAAGACTTTTTTCTATTTTTAATACCAGAAGATTGGCAGCATAGTTGATGAGTTCGGTATTGCATGAAAATTTTATATACAAGATTGAGAATATTTTACAATGCAATTGGAAAAAGTTTTGTAATTTTTGTATTTTGTAAAACAAAAAGAAAAAATTTTCCATTCATACACAAACAAAAATAAATGTTAGCCTTCGATTGAACTGGTTTCATAAATAAAATTTATGGTTGTTATGTTACAAAGCCTTCAGGCGCTTTTCTAGAAGAGTAATCAAATTAAACTAAAATAACATTAAAATGGCCAAAACGATGGTTATAAAAGAGATAAAAATGAATTTTGCTAAAACATTAATCTGCATTCATAATTTAACAGGCACCATCAGGATTTTCAATAAGAAATGGGCTTCAATATCAAAATTTTAGTTTTTAGACCTTTTTAGTTTATAGACCTATCCATATTAGTATCAACTAGTCGAGATAATGTCGACTATAGCCAAGTCGATAATATCAAATATAGACTAGTCGAATGTGTAGACTATGGTCTAGTCGATAGTGTCGGCTATAAACTAGTCGATAGTGTCAGCTATAGACTAGTCGATAGTCTCGACTATAGACTAGTCGATAGTGTCGGCTATAGACTAGTCGATACTGTCGACTAGCCACTAGTCGAAAGTGTCGGCTGTAGACTAGTCGATAGTGTTGCCTATAGATTAGTCGATAGTGTCGACTATAGAATAGTCGATAGTGTCGGCTATAGACTAGTCGATAGTGTCGACTATAGACTAGTCGATTGTGTCGACTGTAGACTAGTCGATAGCGTCGACTATAGTCTAGTCGATAGCGTCGGCTATAGACTAGCCGATAGTGTCGGTTATAGACTAGTCGATAGTATCGGCTATAGTCTAGTCGATAGTGTCGACTATAGACTAGACGATTGTGTCGACTGTAGACTAGTCGATAGCGTCGACTATAGTCTAGTCGATAGTGTCGGCTATGGACTAGCCGATAGTGTCGGTTATAGACCAGTCGATAGTATGGGCTATAGACTAGTCGATAGTGTCGACTATAGACTTGTCGATACTGTCGACTAGTCACTAGTCGAAAGTGTCGGCTATAGACTAGTCGATAGTGTTGCCTATAGATTAGTCGTTAGTGTCGACTATAGACTAGTCGATAGTGTTGCCTATAGATTAGTCGATAGTGTCGACTATAGACTAGTCGATAGTGTCGGGTATAGACTAGTCGATAGTGTCGGCTATGGACTAGTCGATAGTGTCGGCTATAGACTAGTCGATAGTGTCGATAGTGTAGGCTATAGACTAGTCGATAGTGTCGACTATAGACTAGTCGATAGTTTCGACTATAGACCAGTCGATAGTTTCGACTATAGACTAGTCAATACTGTCGACTAAAGACTAGTTGATATTGTCGACAATAGACTAGTTGATATTGTCGACTATAGTCTAGTCGAAAGTGTCGGCTATAGACTAGTCGTTAATGTCGACTATAGACTAGTCGATAGTATCGGCTATAGACTAGTTTATATAGACTAGACGATAGTGTGGACTATAACTAGTCGATAGTGTGGACTATAGACTAGCCGTTAGTGTGGACTATAGACAAATCGATATTGTTGCCCATAAACTAGTCGGTAGTGTCGCCTATAGGCTAGTTGATAGTCTCGACTGTAGGCTAGTTGATAGTAAAGACTATAGGCTAGTTGATAGTAAAGACTATAGACTAGTAGATAGTTTCGACTATAAACTAGTTGATAGTTTTGACTATAGACTAGAAGATAGTGTCGTCTATAGACTAGTCGATAGTGTTGTCTATAGACTAAACGATAGTTTCGACTCTAGTTTAGTCTATAATCTCGACTATAGACTAGTCTACTATAGACTAGACGATATTCCCGAGAATAGATTAGTTGATTAGTCTCGACTATAGACTAGTCGCGGTTTTCCAGTATAGAACGATCAACAATCGAGACTATATACTAGTCGATAGCCTCCACTACATATTAGTCGATTGTCTCCACAAGACTAGTCGATAGTCTCGACTATAAACTGGTCAATAGTCTCGACTATAGTCGTGTCTAGTCAGGTCAGCGTTTATTTAAGTTCAAAATTCTTCCCAAATTTTTTAATTTTTTGCAAAATTAAAATACGAAAATTTTGATATATTATAAAATATTCCTGAATCAATACAATTCAAATTCTATCTTTCCTTTCCAGCTCCTATTCCTGTTATTGTATTGACGGTTATACTGGTATACAATGTCAAACGAATTGGGATGAATGCTGGTCGGGACCCTGTCAAAATGGTGGTACATGTATAGATGGCGTGGCCTACTACAATTGTACATGTCCAGATGGTTTTTCAGGTAAGTTAAGAAACTTAATTTCGGTTCTCATTTATTCATTATTATAAAAGCAATTTTAATTATATCTACAACCTGGAAAACAAAACTGTGAGAATTTGTTGTTTTTTCGTTATGGAAATTATGATAATTACAATGAACATAATTATGGTTAAACAATTTAAGACATTAATATTCTTGCTCTAAGTATTATAATGTGAAATTCTTGAGAAGTAATTATCTTATACATTTACCTACTCAACATACAATTTCTTTGTTATTTTCGGCAATTAATGGAGGCTTTTCGAAATTTTGTAAATTCTAGGAATTAAGTACACATAATAAAGAAAATACCTGAAATTAAATGAAATTAAAACAAATGCAAACATATTGCTATTAATATGTTTACAAACATATGTATTTACATTTGTATGGCAGTAGAAATACATAAATGAGGATGATATAAACGAATTTGACAAACATTTCTAGGAAAGATAAACATGACAACATTTGCTTAAAATGAAATTATAAACATAGATAAACATAGATATTAAAATGTGGTAAAAATAAACTAAAAACAGATGTTGTTATAATAAAATAGTAATACGAATTGGCAAAATAAATCTAGTAATTAAGAGACTTATTAAGATCAGTTTAAACTAACAATATTACATAAATGTTTATAATTATCTTAAAATATTGGTCAGTTATAAAATAATATAAAAACTAATTAAAAGAAACAAATACATTTCTGAAAATGTTACAATTTATGAGGAATGAAATAAATTCGATAGAAATTGATGTTAATCATACGCACCCCCTCTACTTGTGTATGTGAATTGTAGAAGTACGAGGAACTACGAGTAGTACGTTTTATAGACCAGACTATAGACTATTGACTAAATTACAGAATAAACAACAGACTAGACTATAGACTAGACTGTAGACTAGACTGTAGACTAGACTGTGTACTAGCCTATAGACTAGACTATAGACTAGACTATAGACCAGACTATAGACTAGATTACAGACTAGACTTAGTCTAGACAATAGACTAGACTATAGACTTGACTATAGACTAGACTATAGACTAGACTATAGACTAGACTATAGACTAGACTAGACTACTAGACTAGACTATAGAACTAGACTATAGACTAGACTATAGACTAGACTATAGACTAGACTATAGACTAGACTATAGACTAGACTATAGACTAGACCTATGACTAGACTATAGACTAGACTATACTAGACTAGACTATAGACTAGACTAGACTATAGACTAGACTAGACTATAGACTAGACTATAGACTAGACTATAGACTAAGACTATAGACTAGACTATAGACAAGACTATAGACTAGACTATAGACAGACTATAGACGTCTATACTACAAAGACTAGACTATAGACTAAGTACTAGTAGACGAGACTATAGACTAAGACTAGAGACTAGACTGTAGACAAGACTATAGACAGACTATAGACTGAACTATAGACTAGACTATGACTAGACTATAGACTAGACGATAGACTAGACTATAGACGAGACTATAGACTAGACGATAGACTAGACTATAGACTAGACTATAGACTAGACTATAGACTAGACTATAGACTATAGACTAGACTATAGACTAGACTATACTAGACTATAGACTAGACTATAGACTAGACTATAGACTAGACTATAGACTAGACTATAGACTAGACTATAGACTAGACTATAGACTAGACTATAGACTAGACTATAGACTAGACTATAGACTAGACTATAGACTAGACTATAGACTAGACTATAGACTAGACTATAGACTAGACTATAGACTAGACTATAGACTAGACTATAGACTAGACTATAGACTAGACTATAGACTAGACTATAGACTAGACTATAGACTAGACTATAGACTAGACTATAGACTAGACTATAGACGAGACTATAGACTAGAATATAGACTAGACTATAGACTAGACTATAGACTAGACTATAGACTAGACTATAGACTTGACTATAGACTAGACTATAGACTAGACTATAGACTAGACTATAGACTAGACTATAGACTAGACTATAGACTAGACTATAGACTAGACTATAGACTAGACTATAGACTAGACTATAGACTAGACTATAGACTAGACTATAGACTAGACTATAGACTATACAGACTAGACTATAGACTAGACTATAGACTAGACTATAGACTAGACTATAGACTAGACTATAGACTAGACTAGACTATAGACTAGACTATAGACTAGACTATAGACTAGACTATAGACTAGACTATAGACAAGACTATAGACTAGACTATAGACAAGACTATAGACTTACTACAGACTAGACTATAGACAAGTCTATAGACTAGACTATAGACTAGACTATAGACTAGACTGTAGACAAGACTATAGACAAGACTATAGACTAGACTATAGACTAGACTATAGACTAGACTATAGACTTGACTATAGACTAGACTATAGACTAGACTATAGACTAGACGATAGACTAGACTATAGACTAGACTATAGACTAGACTATAGACTAGACTATAGACTAGACTATAGACTAGACTATAGACTAGACTATAGACTAGACTATAGACTAGACTATAGACTAGACTATACTAGACTATAGACTAGACTATAGACTAGACTATAGACTAGACTATACTAGACTATAGACTAGACTATAGACTATACTAGACTAGACTATAGACTAGACTATAGACTAGACTATAGACTAGACTATAGACTAGACTATAGACTAGACTATAGACTAGACTATAGACTAGACTAGAGACTATACTAGACTAGACTATAGACTAGACTATAGACTAGACTATAGACTAGACTATAGACGAGACTATAGACTAGAATATAGACTAGACTATAGACTAGACTATAGACTAGACTATAGACTAGACTATAGACTTGACTATAGACTAGACTATAGACTAGACTATAGACTAGACTATAGACTAGACTATAGACTAGACTATAGACTAGACTATAGACTAGACTATAGACTAGACTATAGACTAGACTATAGACTAGACTATAGACTAGACTATAGACTAGACTATAGACTAGACTATAAGACTAGACTATAGACTAGACTATAGACTAGACTATAGACTAGACTATAGACTAGAACGATAGACTAGACTATAGACTAGACTATAGACTAGCTATAGACTAGACTATAGACTAGACTATAGACTAGACTATAGACTAGACTATAGACTAGACTATAGACTAGACTATAGAAGACTTAGACTATAGACTAGACTATAGACTAGACTATAGACGTAGACTATAGACTAGACATAGACTATACTATAGACTAGACTATAGACTAGACTAGAGACTAGACTTATAGCTAGACTATAGACTAGACTATAGACTAGACTTAGACTAGACTATAACTAGACTATAGACTATACTATAACTAGACTAGAGACTAGACTATAGACTAGACTAGAGACTAGACTATAGACCTAGACTATAGACTAGACTATAGACTAGACTATAGACTAGACTATAGACTAGACTATAGACTAGACTATAGACTAGACTATAGACTAGACTATAGACTAGACTATAGACTAGACTATAGACTAGACTATAGACTAGACTATAGACTAGACTATAGACTAGACTATAGACTAGATAGACTAGACTATAGACTAGACTATAGACTAAACTATAGACTAGACTATAGACTAGACTATAGACTAGACAGATAGACTATAGACTAGACTATAGACTAGACTATAGACTAGACTATAGACTAGACTATAGACTAGACTATAGACTAGACTATAGACTAGACTATAGACTAGACTATAGACTAGACTATAGACTAGACTATAGACTAGACTATAGACTAGACTATAGACTAGACTATAGACTAGACTATAGACTAGACTATAGACTAGACTATAGACTAGACTAGAGACTAGACTATAGACTAGACTATAGACTAGACTATAGACTAGACTATAGACTAGACTATAGACTAGACTATAGACTAGACTATAGACTAGACTATAGACTAGACTATAGACTAGACTATAGACTAGACTATAGACTAGACTATAGACTAGACTATAGACTAGACTATAGACTAGACTATAGACTAGACTATAGACTAGACTATAGACTAGACTATAGACTAGACTATAGATAGACTATAGACTAGACTATAGACTAGACTATAGACTAGACTATAGACTAGACTATAGACTAGACTATAGACTAGACTATAGACTAGACTATAGACTAGACTATAGACTAGACTATAGACTAGACTATAGACTAGACTATAGACTAGACTATAGACTAGACTATAGACTAGACTATAGACTAGACTATAGACTAGACTATAGACTAGACTATAGACTAGACTATAGACTAGACTATAGACTAGACTATAGACTAGACTATAGACTAGACTATAGACTAGACTATAGACTAGACTATAGACTAGACTATAGACTAGACTATAGACTAGACTATAGACTAGACTATAGACTAGACTATAGACTAGACTATAGACTAGACTATAGACTAGACTATAGACTAGATATAGACTAGACTATAGACTAGACTATAGACTAGACTATAGACTAGACTATAGACTAGACTATAGATAGACTATAGACTAGACTATAGACTAGACTATAGACTAGACTATAGACTAGACTATAGACTAGACTATAGACTAGACTATAGACTAGACTATAGACTAGACTATAGACTGACTATAGACTAGATGACTAGACTAGACTATAGACTAGACTATAGACTAGACTATAGACTAGACTATAGACTAGACTATAGACTAGACTATAGACTAGACTATGACTAGACTATAGACTAGACTATGGACTAGACTATAGACTAGACTATAGACTAGACTATAGACTAGACTATAGACTAGACTATAGACTAGACTATAGACTAGACTATGGACTAGACTATAGACTAGACTATAGACTAGACTATAGACTAGACTATAGACTAGACTATAGACTAGACTATAGACTAGACTATAGACTAGACTATAGACTAGACTATAGACTAGACTATAGACTAGACTATAGACTAGACTATAGACTAGACTATAGACTAGACTATAGACTAGACTATAGACTAGGACTATAGACTAGACTATATATAGATATCAAAAAGTACTGAAAATAGTACTAGAGTACTGAATTTTTCCGTACTTGCATTAAAGACTTATTTCCTTTTCTGTAAAATAATGTGCAACAGTACGCATAATTAATATTAATTTTACTAATATTACTTATACTCATTTAATCTCTATCTGTTTATATAAACATTTGCCTTTTGGCACTGAAAATTAAATAAAAATCTTTATAAATTTATTTTATTTAAACAACAGTTTAAATTTTTAACAACATTTATAAAAAAAAAACAACTAAATATCTTTTCTAAAGCTGAGATTTTAAAATTATTGCTGGTATTTACACACTTTTCATAAACTCACACACAATTTAGATTTAAACTGTTTTTGATGTTACCTAAGGCCTCAGGTAATAAAATTATTTATTTTCGTTTGAAAAACAAAAATGATTTTTTTTTTTTTTTTGCATTTAAATAAAAAAACAAAGAACAAAATATGTCCTACACAAAAGATTAAATATAAATCATAAAAATGGTGAAAAAAATATATTTTTTTAAATTATGTTTCTATACATATAAAAACGGGGAATAAAGCTGGCGTTTTGCAAAAAAAAACGGTAGAAAAGCCCATAAACAAAACTGACTTTTACACTGACTGAAACCATAAAAATTGAACAGAACAAAAAAATCCAACTACGGCAGCAGCAACAGCATTAAAATTCACAAAACCCTCTTTATTAAACTCATAAACAAAAGGGGCCATAATCATTTTGCTTTTTTTGTAGTTTTTCTTTAATAAACAACGTTTTTAAAATGAGTGAAATATAAAGAAGCTAAATACAACTTGCGGCAGTGCAGTGCTGCTTTGGACGTTCAATGACTTTTTGACCAACATTTTTTTTTCCTTCACTTTAGCTGCTTTCGCCAACATTGTAAACAGCACATTTAGATTTATGAATTATATAAATCATTTATTCTTTTCTTAGTTTTTTTTCTTCTTAATTTTTTTATTATATTTTCCACTGCCATTTTTTGTGTAAGTTTTTTTTTTTTTGTTCGCTGTTTGTCTTTTAATAGCATCGAAAATGACAATGGGCAGTTTTTAAGTGGACAGGTGTAATAATAAAGTAAGATTTGTATTTTCCTTCTTTGTAAGATTTTCTCTATTTTATGGAAAATTTTTAGGTTATTATGGCCTAAAAGGATGCATAAATATTATTAAGTTTTAATTAAATGCAAACAATTTAATTATGGGCAAATAAATGTAACATATTTTAAGGCAAACTGTCATAAATTATGGGGATTGTAATGGAATTTAATTTAGACACTTACCTTTTGCACAACAATAAACTAGTTGATTTTTATATAAAGTAATCTGTAAAGGAAATAAAAAATTAATTATTACAATTTATTAAATTAAGAAACTTTAATTCATAACTAAATTTTCAATGAAAAACTGAGTTTTCAGTCAAATAAAGTGATTTCTAAGTCGAAATATAGAAATATAATTTAAAAAAAAAATTTCTAGATTACGGTCCTCAGAAAGCTCTTAATCATGACTAACTAAAGGAAATAAGAAAAAATCTCACTCTGAGATAGCCTTTTGTTAATAGCATACGCCTTCAATCCGTTCCCAGTAGTATCTTTGTCTATTTTTTTAATAAAGACTACAGTTCCAATTTTGTAAGGACATAACACCTATACTCTCTTCCTACTTTTATGGCTTTTATATCAACTACATAAATTAAATACAAAATTTCTGACAATACAAATAGATTTTTGAATATTTCATAAAAACAGCAATTTTATCTTAATTTTTTTAATATTCAATGATAGCATGAACATAAATCTTTGAACGTTTTTATTTCATAGTTAACCCACTCAAGTGTAAGTACTATTAAAACACATACATACATGCACATATACATATACAGCAATAATAGCAAAAGAACCAACAAACAAAAGACAAAAGTCAAATTAATGCAAGCATAAATTTGAATATTGAACCAAAAAGTAAAGAGCAGGAAACTAAAATAATAACTAAAAAAAAAGTAAAAAAAAGTATTAATGAAAAAAAACTTTATAATACCCTACATCAATGAAAAAAAAAATTAATTTGAATATCATGGGATCGTTCCATAATTGAGCCTACAAATCTTAGTACCCCTCTTAAATTAATCACTATTCCAAATTCGAAAGATCACAACCCATAAACTGATCAACCTGATGCTCATATTAATACGGATATTTGATAATCAAATTCAGAATAAATCTAATATCACATTGCAATACGAACAAAATTGTGAACGTATAAAATTCAAAAAACTTCATCTTCAGATCAAAATCGCAGAAAAAAAAACTTCAAATTAGGCGTATACTTAATATTTGTAATATCAATAAATAATCAATACGTATACGTACAGATGTCTCCAACAAGTTCTCACAAGTTTCCTTTTAAAATGGAAAATGAAAAGATAAAGTTAGTTAGTTAATTAGTTAGTTTGTTAGTTAGTAGTTAGTTAGTTAGTTAGTTTAGTTGTTAGTTAGTTAGTTAGTTAGTTAGTTGTTAGTAGTTAGTTAGTTAGTAGTTAGTTAGTTAGTTAGTTAGTTAGTTAGTTAGTTAGTTAGTTAGGTTAGTTAGTAGTTAGTTAGTTAGTTAGTTAGTTAGTTAGTTAGTTAGTTAGTTGTTAGTTAGTTAGTTAGTTAGTTAGTTAGTTAGTTAGTGTAGTTAGTTAGTTAGTTAGTTAGTTAGTTAGTAGTTAGTTAGTTAGTTAGTTAGTTAGTTAGTTAGTTAGTTGTTAGTTAGTTAGTTAGTTTAGTTAGTTCGTTAGTTAGTTAGTTCGTTAGTTAGTTAGTTAGTTAGTTAGTTAGTTAGTTAGTTAGTTAGTTAGTTAGTTAGTTAGTTAGATTAGTTAGTTAGTTAGTTAGTTAGTTAGGTTAGTTAGTTAGTTAGTTAGTAGTTAGTTAGTAGTTAGTTAGTTAGTTAGTTAGTAGTAGTTCGTAGTTAGTAGTTAGTTCGTTAGTTAGTTAGTTAGTTAGTTAGTAGTTAGTTAGTTAGTTAGTTAGTAGTTAGTTAGTTAGTTAGTTAGTAGTTAGTTAGTTAGTTAGTAGTTAGTTAGTTAGTTAGTTAGTAGTTAGTTAGTTAGTTAGTTGTTAGTTAGTTAGTTAGTTAGTTAGTTAGTTAGTTAGTTAGTTAGTTAGTTAGTAGTTAGTTGTTAGTTAGTTAGTTAGTAGTTAGTAGTTAGTTAGTTAGTTAGTTAGTTAGTTAGTTAGTAGTTAGTAGTTAGTTAGTTAGTTAGTTAGTTAGTTAGTTAGTAGTTAGTTAGTTAGTAGTAGTTAGTTAGTTAGTTAGTTAGTTAGTTAGTTAGTTAGTTAGTTAGTTAGTTAGTAGTTAGTTAGTTAGTTAGTTAGTTAGTTAGTTAGTTAGTTAGTTAGTTAGTTAGTTAGTTAGTTAGTTAGTTAGTTAGTTAGTTAGTTAGTTAGTTAGTTAGTTAGTTAGTTAGTTAGTTAGTTAGTTAGTTAGTTAGTAGTTAGTTAGTTAGTTAGTTAGTTAGTTAGTAGTTAGTTAGTTAGTTAGTTAGTTAGTTAGTTAGTTAGTTAGTTAGTTAGTTAGTTAGTTAGTTAGTTAGTTAGTTAGTTAGTTAGTTAGTTAGTTAGTTAGTTAGTAGTTAGTTAGTTAGTTAGTTAGTTAGTTAGTTAGTTAGTTAGTTAGTTAGTTAGTTAGTTAGTTAGTTAGTTAGTTAGTTAGTTAGTAGTTAGTTAGTTAGTTAGTTAGTTAGTTAGTTAGTAGTTAGTTAGTTAGTTAGTTAGTTAGTTAGTTAGTTAGTTAGTTAGTTAGTTAGTTAGTTAGTTAGTTAGTTAGTTAGTTAGTTAGTTAGTTAGTTAGTAGTTAGTTAGTTAGTTAGTTAGTTAGTTAGTTAGTTAGTTAGTTAGTTAGTTAGTTAGTTAGTTAGTTAGTTAGTTAGTTAGGTGGTAATTTATGTTCGTATTTAGGTTACTTCGTTACTCTCCTCACTACAATGTTACAGGTTCCAACTACTCCCACCTATAGTAGAAAAGAAAAATTCTTCATTTACCTTTAACATTGTAAATTTACAATTCAAATGAAGTACTGTGAAAGTTGTAACTGCAAAAGATACCCACTTGTATTGATTTAAAATAAAGTTTACATCTTTTAAACTACAAAATGAATGGAATACGGGGAAGTGTAAGTTACCTTTGTATAAGGTAAATTATTACAGTTAATTGATTACATCTTTGAATACAGCAGAGGCACTAAACGCTTTCACTTAAACATTTTTCAAAATCTTTTTGAAAAGTTATCGTGTTGGAATGTTATAATAAAGGAAGTTTCTAATTTTACGTCTAACAAAAAATATGTTCAGATATTGGCCATTACATTTGACTTATACATATTATAGATAGTAACACAGTTTTTTCTATATTTATTTTAGAAATTATGACAACTATAATTTTTTCTAACAACTAAAGTTTTTTCTATATTTATTTTGGAAATTATGACAACTATAATTTTTGCTCTTTACTTAAATATTCAAATCAACTGCAGTGTTTAAGTACACACAGGAAACAAAAAATCCATATATTATCTTTAGCTCTCATACATTTGCCAAGAATCCTGTTTTTACATCTACACACTATCTGTTTTATTTGTTCTGGTATATTGTTTCATTATTGTAAAAGATTGCAATTTAAATTTATGCTTATTGTTGCTAAGATTTTTTTCTATAAATATTTCTTTTTACATATTTTTCCTGTTCTTTTTTTTTCCTGTTTTCATACAAGAATAACTACGAAAAGGGATAACAAGAAAATAAACATAAAAAATATATTGAATGAAAAAGTCATAGGTAGAAGAAAATAGTTAAGTAAAAGCAAAAGTATGTGTATTTATTGTTTGAGTAGTAGAAGAGTAGTATAATGAGTCAGTAAGTGGTTCATAGTTCATAATTTAACTTTTAAAATACTCATATACGTTAGACAAGCTCTCAGTTCGATTGATTAAAGTAGTATGAAGTTATATATTAAAACTATGTTAGTATCAGTAAGAGAGTGTAAATACAAGAAAGTGCAATAACAAGAAAAATCACAGGAAATGAAATAAAATGGAAAACTACCAACATACATATTTTTTACATACATATTTTTTCCGGTAATTGAATTAAATTTTTTTCATTCATTCACTCTCACATCAATAGTAACAAGTAAGAGTGTTATATTCGGCTGTGACGAATCTCTTAATTTAGCGAATTTCATAACTCGTATCTTTAAGCCAGTAATGATCGTTTAAGTAGTTTTCTGAAGGGGACCTTATAGGGGGGGGTAGAGTCAATTGTGGACCCAATCCACATACAATTTGTTAGAGAGATTTTGGCTTGCGAGAAACTTACATACATGGGTCAAATTTTATCGTTATACTCGTATTTTTTAACCAGTAATGAGCGTTAATGTAATTTTCTGAAGGGGACCTTGTACGGATAAATTATGGACCGAACGTCCCTAAATTTGGTAGAGAGATTTTGGCTCCCATAAAACTTATGTGTGTCAAATTTTGTCACTTCATTTCATATTTTTATGCTAGTAATGAGCGATATAGTCATTTTCAGAGGGGGGCCTTATATGGGGGTAGGGTCATTTATGGGCCGATCCTAAAAAAAATTGGTACAGAGGTTTTGGCTCGTAAGAAACTTACGTGTGTTGCATTTCATCGTTTTACTCGCTTTTTTAAACCAGTAATGAGCGTTAAAGCCATTTCCTGAAAGGGGACCTCATATGGGGTGTAAGTTCAATTATGGACCTATCCACATAAAAGTTGGTAAAGAGATTTTGGCTCGCAAGGAACATAATTGTGTAAAATTTTATTGCTATATTCGTATTTTTTAGCCAGTAATGAGCGTTAAAGTCATTTTCTGAAAGGGACCTTGTATAGGCGGTAGAGTCAATTGTGGACCGATCCTTACTAAATTTACTAGAGGGATTTTGACTCGCATTAAACTTATTCGTGTCGAATTTCGTCACTATATTTATATTTTTGAGCCAGTAATTTGCGTTAAAGTCATTTTTAGAAGGACCCTATATGAGGTGTAGGGTCATTTATGGGCCGATCCTTAAAAAAATTGGTAGAGAGGTTTTGATTCGTAAGAAACTTACTTATGCTGAATTTCATCGCTATACTCGAATTTTAAGACCAGTAATGTGTGTTAAAGTCATTTTCAGAAGGGGACCTTATATGGGGGGTAGGGTCAATTATGGACCGATCCTCAAAAACTTTAGTAGAAAGATTTTGGGTCATATAAAACTTATTTTTGTTGAATTTCACCACTATACTCGTACTTTTAAAGTAGTTATGCCCGTTAA